CTCTTGGGTACAAGTGGATTTTCAAAAGAAAATTGAAAGCGGATGGATCAATAGACAAATACAAGGAAAGGCTTGTAGTCAAAGGTTTTAGACAGAAAGAATGTCTAGATTACTTTGACACATACTCACCGGTTACTAGAATAACATCCATTAGAATGCTAATTGCCATTGCATCTCTATACAATCTAGAAATTCATCAAATGGATATGAAAACCGCTTTCTTAAATAGTGAGTTAAATGAAGAAATTTACATGGAACAACCAGAAGGTTTTTTTGTTCCAGGGAAAGAAAAGAAAGTGTATAAATTGGTTAAATCATTATATGATTTAAAACAAGCGCCAAAGCAATGGCATGAGAAATTTGATAAGGCAGTGATGTCAAATGGATTTAAAATTAATGAGTGTGATAAATGTGTTTATATTAAAAACACAGATAAAGGTTATGTCATTGTATGTCTTTATGTAGATGATATGCTCATCATAGGTAGTAATAATGATATGATTAAAACTACCAAGAAAATGTTGAATAAACATTTTGACATGAAGGACATGGGCATTGCTGATGTAATTCTTGGTATGAAAATTACCAAAACATCAGAAGGATATGCTTTGTCACAATCTCATTACATTGAGAAAATACTTGACAAATTCAGCAAAGATGATGATCATCTTGCTAGAACACCGGTAGATGTTAATTTGTATCTTTCTAAAAATAAAATAATTAGTATTTATCTTTGTACTTGTAATACATTTAGCGTCTAATATAAATATCATGCTGTTAGAACCTTTTTATGAGTATATCAATGGATTGTCATCCACAGTTAGGTATTAGCTTCCTCTAAACGCAATCAATTTTCCAATAAACTTGAATGGATTTAATGCATCCACTAAGAGGATTATAGAATTGGCAAGAGCATTAAGCGTTAGTGTCCGACACAGACATGACAACTTTTTAGAAGTGTCAGTACTTAGATAATGATTATGATCAAGCAAAGAACATGCATTAGATCACTTGTAGCATCGCTGTCATTGGTTTCCTGTCCTACTTATCAAAGCATCCTTTAAATTCTCACATATTAAGCCTAGTCCACACACACACACACACAGACCTCGGTGGCATCGCGTCAAAGAGCAAGCATGCCTGCCTCCACACAAACAGCTTTCAGTTGTGCTCCATTGAAATCATCAGTAGATCGAGCTAGCTCTTCAAAGTTGACACCTGGGTGAACATTCATCTTTCGGGGGTGGATCTACAATACCAATGCAAATGAGTCAGCTGGAATTCCCCATGGTAAAAAAAGAGAATATAATGTTTAAAGTTCAGAAAGGAAGGATTTTGAAAGCAAGCAAGCAAAACCTGCAAAATTCTAGCTCTTGCTTCTTCAGTGGGATGTGGAAACTCAATTTTACGATCCAATCGACCAGAACGCATGAGCGCAGGATCTAAAATATCAGCTCTATTGGTTGCTGCTATCACCTGCAGTTTAAGAAAGTACCAAAAACAAAACAGAAACAAAAAATTAAACTATTGGAACTAAAGACCCAAATGATGACAAAAAGTGGAGGCAGTCCTACTAGTCGTGCTAGTGAGTGCCATATGGGTAGAAGTGATGGCAGAGAACCAGGTCCCAAGCATCCAGCCTGTACAGAAGTTCTAAAGAAACAATCTTCGTGGCAGCATGGTCTAAATGTCAAGAGCCAACAGTTGCCTCGAAATGACCATTACACTGAAACTATAATCAGTTGAAGGCAAGAGACAAACCTTTATCCGATCATCGCTACTAAAGCCATCAAGCTGATTGAGCAACTCTAACATTGTCCGTTGAACTTCCCTATCCCCACTAACTTCACTGCATCAAAAGAGGGGGGAGAAAAAATTTAGTGAGACTGTTTATGAAATAAACTCAATTATTAGTCACCAGAAAAGCATAATACTGAGATTAAAAAAAAAAAAATAGCAAACACAAACTGAAATCAAGTAAAGCTGCAAATGACACAAATAAGGTATACCTGTCACACCACTTTGTGCCAATAGCATCGATTTCATCTATAAAGATGATGCAAGGAGATTTCTCTTTAGCAAGTTGAAAAGCATCACGGACAAGTTTCGCTCCATCCCCAATGAACATCTACATGGATAAAAACCTTAGTTACTAAATTAATAGTAGTGACCTTGACTACTTCACTAGAGCAAAACAAATTGATGACCGCTTAAGTGCATTATAGATTAGTACATATACAATACAATTATTGCGTAGTAACGAAAAATTTCTCGTCCAAACAGGTTTTTAATTCACTACAAGAATTTACACATTTTGCGACCACTTTTGCCGACCAAAAAAATTTTAGTCGCAAAAAAATGACATTTGGCGACAAAATATTAATTAGTCGCGAATGATCATTGTTTTTGGCGACCAAATATTATTGGTCGCAGAAGGTTATATTTTGGCGACCAAAAAATGAGTTGGTCACAGAAAGTGGTATACTTTTCCCGACTAACTACAAATTTGGTCGCGGAAGGTCACATATTTTTTGGGGACCAAATTTTTGGTCGTCAAAAATTTATTTTCAGCAGCCAAAAAAAATTAGTCGCCAAATTTGTATTTTTAGCGACCAATATTTTAGTCGCCGTTGATTGAGATTTGGCGACTAAAAAAGTTTGTCGGCGAAGGTACCTTTTCTGCGACTAATTTGGTCTTTTGGTAGCCACAAGTTTGGAAGGGAAATTTGAACAACCAGGAGGGGGGAAATGAAATTTTTTGGCGACCAAAAAAATTTGGTCGCCATTCAGAAAACGACGTCGTTTTGTACCTGCAAAACAGAAAAATAAATAAATAAATAAAGGCAAATCCAGTGAGTAGCCTTTGTGTATGTCACTACAAGAAATTGCACTTTTAGCAACCACTTTTGGCGACGATTAGGGGTGCAACTCGGGCGGGTTCGGTCGGGTTGGAGGTCTGCCCAAGCCCGACCCGAATTGTATTTGGCAGTGCCCAAGCCCGCCCAGGCCCGACCATGAACTCGAGCATTGCTGCCCAAGCCCGGCCCAAGCTTTGTATTTTGAACTCGGGTTAGCCCGAATTGCCCAGAAACCTGTAGGTAGACATAAGGGTAGACATAAAAGATGCTAATCTAATGGTAGAAGACTAACCAAAAAAAAAATAAAAATTAAGACTAACTCTTTTACTTAATAGAAGACTAACCAAATCTCCTCTACCACTACCACAACTTCACCACTTATCTCTTTCACCATCACTTAAAAAAAAAAAAAAAATGGGTCGTAAAAAAATATTTTTCATTGGCCACAAAAAATTAACTTTATTTTAATGGAAAATATTATCCCTACTTCTACCAAATAAAAAATTAATAATAATTTTGTATTCATTAAAATAAATATGAAACAAATAAATTTAAAAAATAATTTTTTTATAGCAATGACATTCTCTGTTGCAAAAAAAAAAAAAAAAGAGTCGTTTTATTATTTAAATATTCATTTGTAATGAAAATCAGAAAAAAAAAATCAAAAAAATTTTCATTCTCCCCCCTTCCTTTTCCATTCCCGCTCGGGTTCCCCCCAACCCAAATCCAAAATCCCCAATCTCAAAAATCCCTAATCTCCCCCCCTTCTTTTCCATTCCAGCTCAGGTTTCCCCCCACCCCAAACCCAAACCCAAAATCCTCAATCTCTTGAACCAAAATCCCCAATCTCAAAATCCCTAATCTCTTCTTATGTCTCTCTCTCTCTCTCTCTCTCTCTCTCTCTCTCTCTCTCTCTCCGTCTCAATTTGTTTCAGATGATGAAGACATTTACGACGGTAAAAGTAGACCTTTAACGACGCAATGTACCATCGTTGCTAAAAATGTATAATATTCACTAGGCGCCTAAATTTTGAAAATTTTAGCAATGAAGGTTAATTTTTTGCAACATGATAAGCGTTGCTATTAGTCTGTTTAATTTTGGCGACAAGAAGTTGGCGTTGGTAAAGAATTAAACATTTAGCGACGACAAAATTATTCGTCGGCAAAAGTTGAGATGGCTTCGATTTTCTAAAACTTGTTTCAGATTTCTTTTAAAAGACTAAAAATTTGTTTCGTGAAAAATTTAAAAAATCAAACAATTTTTTTGATTTTGGTTTTTTGCATTCACTATTTAGAAAATCATGCTTTCTTGTTTTCTGTATTGTTTTTATTTTTACCGAATTTTTTAATATTTTAAGCAATAGTTTTAATTTTTAGACACACCTAACATAAATACAATTAAAAAGTATAATTTTTGTGATTTTTTTTTTAAAATTCACTAAATATCAAAAATTAAAAAAAAAACCAAAATTTAGTATATTTTTTGTATTTTTTAATTTTTTAAAATATTTTTTTACAAATATTTTACTTTTTAGATACATCTAAGTAAGGTGCATCTAAAATTTTTTTAAAAAATAATTAAAATTTAAAAATATTAATTAAAAAAAACTCAATTTTTAAAAAATTAAATTCAAAAAACTGAAACCAAATAAACTCAAAAGTACTTATCAATTTTATATAATTTTATAAAGTATATGAATAATTTTTAATTTTAAAATATATTTAAAAAGAGTAGAAACCTTGTTTTGGATGAGTAAAAACAATAATAATAATAAAATAGAAAGTTGAACTCAAACCAAACAGAACCTTGTTTTTTACCTTCCCTCCCAATTTTCGCTCTCTGTTTTTTTTTTTTGCTGCTAGGTAAAACCCCTATTCTATCTCCACGATTTTCACCTTGCACAGCCATTCTCTCACGATTGGAAATTCTCTCCCTCTCACAATCGCACACCCGCATAGGTATTTATCGACCGTCAGGTTTTCGCCATTTACCGTTGCTGTGCTACACCATCGCCTCTTCATTCTAGCTCTGTAACGCCCTCAAAATAATAACATTAAACCCTTCAATATAAACATACATTTATATACAAAAGATCCACATTTCCTCAATTCATCATAGTGCTACATTGCAAAAGTATTACACCAATCGCACACTCGCATAGGTATTTGTCGACCGTCAGGTTTTCGCCATTTACCGTTGCTGTGCTACACCATCGCCTCTTCATTCTAGCTCGGTAGATTTGTCCGTTCTTTGCTCTATATTCTATTTCTCTCTCTCTCAATTTGTTATCTGAATCTCTATTCTATTTCCTTTGTACTTCCTTCGTTTCAGTTATTTGTTTCTTTGTCAAAGGTTCCTAGCATAACCTGCAATTCTATCTGCTTTCTATTGAGTTTTGAACTAGGGGAGGAGAACCATTATATCTCTAGCTTCTAGTTGGATTGCTAGGGATTTTTAAAGATTTTTTTTCTTGCTTATTTGACGTTATTTCTTATTAGATTGCACTGTAGGAACAATGTTTCTGATTGAATTGATAAGATTGATTCTTTTCAATTCATATTATTATTCTTTGATGCTATCGTTTTTTCTGCTTTGTATTTCTTTTTTTTTTCTTGTGTTTTTTTTTCTTAACTTTATTCTTATTATTTTTTTGCATGTTTGCTGTTTTTCTCTGTTGGGTTGTTTGCAATTTGTGGTTTAGTTGATGGGTTTTTGAGATTCATTAAAACCCTAGGATTAAATTGGTAATTTTTGTTCTGACGGTTGGGTTTTTGAATGTTTTTGATTTTTCTCTGTTGGGGTTGCTTGGAATTAGAAGAAAATATATATTTAATTTAGTATGGTTTAATTTGTTTTTGCTTTCCAACTCAACCATGCACAGTTGCCTTAAGCCTCAGCTCTACTTTGTTGTATCATCTGGACCCTAGAATCAAATGGATGATTTCAATTATTGTGGGTTTTGATTGTTTTATAGTGAATTTTGATGATGCAATATGAATATAAAAATAATAATAAAAAAAAGAAAAGAATTCAGGTCACATCAATACAAGCAAAGAAAAAAAAAGGCCAAATAATTTAGAATATATGATGATGGTTCATAATCACTGAACAAGAAGTAGGCTGTTAGAAAATGGTGAAATTTTCTGTGACAAGAACAAATTTTTTCGAGTCCACTGAAGATTCCAAATATCATTTTGCCTGTATTAGCTGTTAAATGGGACGAGATATTTGATTTTTTTGAAGATTTGATTGACCAATAAGAGCTATGTTGTTTGGAAGTCTTTTACTGACAAGAAATTTATGAGAAAGCAATTGAGTGGTTCTTTTATTCTTTAATTGCTATTTTCTTTTTTCTTATTTAATTTTCATTTCAATGTCTTTTAATTTCGACATAGTTAACTATCTTGATTATGCAGGCATGGCTCCTTGCTCTAGTTATTTTACTTCTTGTTGAGATGGCTTTGGGTATGGTTGTAGATTAAGCCAACTATTTCAGTTCTCATTGTTTATAATAGCAACTGATGCAACTGTGTGGTATTCTCATCACATTCCTAAGGTTGAGTGATATGATATCACTTCCAACTTTGTAAAGAGGCATCTTAATTCTCTTTATTGACTTAATTCTTTCCTGTGGGATAAATGTTTCCTTTTCCTAGATCTTGATTCATATCTTCATTTATAAATCTAGCTTTGTCTTGATCTTGAATAGCAGCCAGTGCAAGCTCGCTCCCCAATACTTATGAAGGGTGCACCATAAAATAAATAAATAAAATCTTAATTACAAACCCTTAGGATTATGTTATGAATTTTTCTCTCTCCAAATTTTGTTACCAATCATTGTGGTCTATAGTGGGGAAGGAAGAGTGGGTTATGGTGGTAAAGGAAACATGCTATAGTCTGTCGCATCTAATGGCAGAACATAATGATTTTATTTTATTTTTGTTGTGTGTGTATCTTCTTTGGGCACTTAATTATCATCTGAAGGTCGTAGTTATAATAGAGAAAATGCCATCTGCTATAATGTATCCTTTAAGCTCAGCAAGGTAACCCACAGCGGATATTCTAATCTATAATAATGAAATCTCCATAGTAGCCACTATTTTTCTTTCTTGTCTTTCTGTTTTTCCTTTTAGTAATTTATTGAACATTACTGTCAAAGGGTCATAATAAATTTTATTGTTCAAACATTAGAAATCTTGCTGCAGAAGTCCTTTTGAGCATACTTTTTTTTTTTTGAAGGGGTGGACAAGGTCCAATAAGACTTTGTTTTGCTTGATTTGACCTGGCATTGATCCTTCATGGCCTTTCTGTTCAAATGTCTAGCTTGCTTAATGTTTTTGTGGTTCACTATCTATTAGACATTGTGTTTATGCTTCCACTGAATTGCAAATTAAACTTCATGTTAGTGGAAGGAACAATACTTTTCATAAATTTCCTACTAATGTTAGCTTAGCACAATGTACAGGAAAATGCTTGGTTTTTGGGCAGGTCATCGCAATTTTGAAATGAGAGCTGCACTAGCAAGTGAATGAGAGAATGACACAGAACTTGATATCCAGAACAACAGAATAACTAGAGGCACTGGACATTTGGTATACCTACGGAAATTCTATACCACGAAGTTCTGCATATGCCCGGTGGTTCACAAGTCAATAGTGATCGCATAGCAGACTCTATACATTACGGATGTGTACCTGGTAAAAGAAATATATACTCACCTAAACTTTTTATACAGAGTGCTTGTATAAGAACAGCCTGTCTTGAATTCTGTTTTCTAAGCAGTTTTTTTTTTTTTTCTCTCCAAATTATCTTATTTTTACTTATCAAATAATTGAACTTTATTTTGCAGATTGATTAGCAATGTTTGGTGGTGAACTATTGTCCCAGGAAGGCCTCTCATGAGAAGGAATTGCTTCAGGTGCTTGACGTTTCCCAGTTATCCATGTAACCTGGGATTCTTCATTTTTAAAAAGCAAACATGTTTCACTTATAAAAGTTTTAACTTATGCATGCTTCGGATTTAATTAATCAAAAAGGAAAAAAAAAAGAAAATGAAAGAGGCAAACAAGTTGAACATGTTATTTATGGTATGCACGTATATCATTGAATGTATTGTTGATGACGTTTTTCTCAAACAGCTAAGGAAGGAAGGCAGAAGAAATCAATATGAGCAACATAAACTACAAGCTTTAAATCAGCACCAGAAAATGGTAAAGATTTCTTTCGTACAAGTGCTTCAGTAAAATTATGTAGGGCCTTTCTATTTTTATTTTTATTTTTATTATCTGTGTCTGTACACATCACTAACTTCATTGAACAGTAAGCCCCGGTAGCTGATATGCTTTGAGACTCACTTTTTATTTCCTTAATTATTCTACATTTGGATAATGCATATGAATTATCAGGTAAGTTTCTAGAGCCTTTGTCAGGTTTGAAGGGCGTTACGGTTTACAGGAAATAATTTCTCATTATGTTTAGTCCAATGTTGATGATTGAAATGCTTAACCAAACCCTCTCCATCTGCTTAAGCTTTTAGATTAGTTGTCTAACAGCATTGCATTTGGATCATCTCACCTCCTACCCTCAAACATAGATACAAGTACAAGAGAGTACTAGATTTCTGCTTGCATAACAGGTGAGGGAAACATTTCTTGTACATTACTGTCAGTTGAATTGTACAAGAAAGTGCTAGTTTTGATTTTTGATGAAACTGGTTTTCACTGGACAAGTCCAATCAGTACACACACACACACACATATATATATAGTCGAGACGTGTGAAATTGAGATTAATTTCTATTCATTAAGCTAACCCTTATATATAACCTTAGGTGTGTTGCTGCTATTGCCCATAAGCACTACACATTTCACACAAGAGAGCAAGAGAGAGAGAGAGAGAGAGAGAGAGAGAGAGAGAGACAGCAATATGTCAATGGAGGTGTATAAGAGAGAAAATGTACAGGAAATGTTGTCACCGCTCTTGTCTTTGCTCCTTTTGCTCTCCTCTTTGAAAGGTATTCCCCTTACACCCCCCCTCTCTCTCTCTCTCTGTTCTTTGCTCTATGAGAGAAGGTTTTAAACTAATCAGACTATGTTATTGACTATAACAAATGTACAGGAAAGTAAGGCCAAGGATGACCACTTCTGTCTTCTTGAAGATAATGTTACTGGGCTTGTTGGAGTAATTAATTTATCTTTTCACCTCAAAAAGCAAATCCTTATAAATTAATTTAATTATGCTTTAAAGGTGAATCTAATGCATGTATGTAATGTTTTTACTCTTATTTTTGTGTAATTGTAATCAGGCTTATGATAGACCAGAACTTGTTCTATACTGGAATGAAGTACACAACAGCTACTTTTGCCACTGCCATGTGTAACATTGTTCCTACCATGTTTTTGCTAATGGCTTGGATACTCAGGTAAATTACCTATGGATTTTTTTATCATGCGGAATTTTGTTATGCATTAAATAAGGTAAAATAATAATAATGACAAGAAATGTGATTTCAAAAAGGCTACTGCAAAATTTAAAAATGGAATTATGCATCTATGAACAATACATGGTGATTTTCATGGCATCTGTCAGTGTTGACGATTTCTTTTAGAGAATCAAAGAAAACTCCAAAACTATGCGTTTATTAATAATATGAATCTGCCCACAATCCAGAACATAAGTTCATAGGCCTGTCGGGAGCAGTGGGTCACACCTCATGAACATTACTTAAATCAAACAAATTCCACATGCCTTAATCCTAATCAAAGTTTTAAAAGGCATTATTGACACTAGCATTGAGGTTTTGATTTTTAGGCAACACTTCCAGATTTTTAGGCAACAAATTCCACATGTCCCAAGAGTCTTATTTATGATCCAGATGTAGATTCCAAAATGTAGGAATATCTCTTAACAAGGCAATTAACAAGGCACAAAATTTTGATCAGCCCAATTAGATCCACTTGGTTTCACAAAATTAATTTTTTTATGCTTCTTTTTTACCTTATATATGCGTAACTGTTTTAAATCACATATAGTAGGTTTAACATATATGACTCTCATGCACAAGGAAATGATAACGAACTTAGAAGAGTTTTACAAGACGGTATAGAGCTTTCCTGCCCTCAGAATTGTAGGGGAATGATGTGTATAATTTTTGGTTATTTCTTCGTTATATTCATTTTTTTTTTTAATCTGGAGATGCTTGATAATGTTTCTTATAGTACTCATATAGATTATCTTGCCAGGTTTTGTAATGTCATGTAAGATGAGTAATTTTGGAATTGGTTGTTTTGTTTGGTTAATGCTAAAAAGTCTGCCACTTGACGCCAAAGAAATTCGAGGGTCCTATAGATGGGCTCCTGCTGATGACGAATTAATTTTTCTCTATTTAATTATGCAAAAATTCTTTCCTACAAGTATGAAATAATTCTCTCTATTGCAGCTAAAACTACCCTATCAAATTGTGGCTATTGTTTTCGGTGCTTTGAATGATACAGCTGCAAAGAAGTATGATTTGGAAGGATGGTTTCCTGCATCGAGCACTTACAGAGAACTTGTTTCCTATTCAAACTGCACTGACTATCAGTCCAGGAGATTAGAGATTCGATATGCGTAGAAAAAGGGTAGACTAGTAGTTATATTTTTTGATACACTAGTTATATTTTTGGATGGGTGTGTATAGAAAATATTTAGTAGACTACTAGTCATATTTTTCGGTTGATGTACATGGATAAAAATTTTAAACATAATAGCAAGTATTTGTTATGTCTTAAATTTTTATGTTAGATGAAATATGTAGTTTGGAATTATTTGTGGATAAAAACTTATAATAGTTGCTGATTTTAATTAAACAGGTTCAGAAATGGTTGATTTATGTATTTTGTTGAATGTTCATGATTCAATTAATTTGTTGGTTTGAATGATTTTTGCAAATTACAGATTATATTGAATAAATTGGATGGATTATTATAAATTACAGGTTTATTTTGTTGGATGTTGGCAACCAAATGTGACAATTGGCGACCAAACTAATTTTGGTCGCAGAATGTCACAATTGGCGACCAAAATTTTTAGTCGCGGAATGTGACAATTGGCGACCAAACTAATTTTGGTTGTGGAATGTGACAATTGGCGACTAAGAAATTTGGTCGGCAAAAGGCAACTTTTCGCGACCAAAATGTTTTAGCGACAAAATGGATTAGTCGCAGTAAATAAATATTTAGCGACCAAAAATTTAGTCGGCAAATGTAACTTTTTCCGACCAACCACAATTTTGGTCGCGAATTACTTTTGCCGACCCTCAATTGGCGACCAAACTAGCGACAAAAAAAATTGGTCGCGGATAACTTTTGCCGACCAAAAATAGACTTTTAGCGACCAATTTTTTTGTTGCCAAAAGTGTTAATTCTTGTAGTGATTGTTCACCAACGGTACCTTTTTTTTTCCAAAAAGTTTGAATATATGTTCAAGTAACGGACAAATCAAAGTTTGAATAAGTGGTGCACCTATTCATTTCTTAGTGCATCTGTTCACTTCAAGGTTGGAACCTGTTCGGGTTGTCTTAACAATCTCTAAGTTGCCTATAAATACAAATCCATTCCCATCAGTCCAAATTGATCCGAAAATTTAGTCTGTTTTTTGCATTTGCTGTCCATTTTGTGCTAGTGCATTTATTCTTCATATATTAGTTTTAGAATAAACATTCAGAGAGTTAGAACACATGTTTGGTTCGCCGAACAAATTGTTTGAAGTGTTACTACAATTTGTAAAGATCATGGTATCCTGGGAGATAGACGCCACTCAACCGTAAGCACCGTAGCGGGGCGAATCTGTCTTAAGGACAAATTGTTACACACTCGACTTGGTTTTAATTTTAATTCTGTTTGATAAATAAATCCGGTATGTTATTTATTTATTTTGTTTGAATTTATTTCAAGTTATTTTATATACACAGAAGATTGTTCCAACACGTTGATGATAACATATTTTGACAAGCGCCTTATTATTACATATGTGGCGTTGTTCAGTGGTTCATCTCTTAGAAAATGGATTTTTATCATCTCTGTTTCATAAAATGGGCAGATTCCATTTCAATTTTTTTTTTAATCAAAAAAATTCCGTTTCATTTAATAGTGTTGCAAATTCCATTTAATTTTATAATCATTAACAACGAGGCAAAACATACATGTTCTACAATCTGATTCACTTTGATTAACATAGATGACTAACATTTGTATCTTACAAAAGATCAAGAATTTTGAAACTGCTCACTCTAAACAATTTTTCACAATCATTCTTTGCTCTAATCAAAACTAGCCTGAGCAGTAGTTAGTAATAAGCAAAAACCACTACAAAGCAAAGGAATCAAAATCAAAATAGGAAAAAAACCAACAAAATCAAACGAAATTTTTTTATCTTTATCCATATACTTTGTCTCGATTTTCAATGACATCTCCAAATTTCGAATAATTTCAATTTTACCCCTAAATTTTTTGAAATCGTATCAATTTGGCCCCTACCATCACATTTGAAACGGATAACATTTACAAAAATTACATTTTGACATCAAATTTCAAAACAAAGATGCAAACTCGCTATCTCTTACCCAAACTCACCCTCTCTCATCTTTTTCCAATTCTTCCCTCTCTCTTTAGCCCTTGCAAGTGCTGCCACCACTACCACTAACTGCCACTATAATCACTCAATTCTCTAACCCAACTTCTCTCAAACCTAAATTCACCCACTCACTCTAAAATTTCTCAAATGAAATTTTTGATTCTTTTTTATCTTCTCTTCTTCATCTTTTACAAACCAACCAGCTAAGCAATAACAAATGGATCAACCAAAGGAAACCAAAGCAATATAAAGTAATGTTTTCAAGAAACTATTTTCCAAAAACACTTTTCAAAAATAGTCAAATTCCTTCATTTCTCATTGCCACCACCACCATAAGAGAGGCACAGGAAAACGGTTAAGCAACAGGAAATGAATCATCCAAAGCAAAGCAAAGTACTCATTTTAAGAAAGTGTTTTACGAAAACACTTTTTTAAAAAAATCACAGCAGCACGTTTCTCATTGCTATCATGACGACCATGAGAGGAACATAGATTTTGATTGTTTTGTTCTTGGTGCTTGGTGTTTTTGTTTCGACGATGTTTGGCGCCGATGTCATGTACGATCACCGAGCTCTAGTGATCGACAACCGGCGTAGAGTCTTGATTTCTGACTCCATTCACTACCTTCGTAACACTTCTAACGTCATTCTCTCTCTCTCTCTCTCTCTCTCTCTCTCTCTCTCTTGTTTCTAAATTTTCTCTCTGTAGAAATTTTATTGTGTTCTCTTTCTAAATGTATATATATACTATAATTGATGTAGATGTGGTCTAATCTCATCTTGAATGGGAAGATGGGAATTGGGTTAATCCTAGAAGTGGGTTTGAGTTTTATAATTGTTTTGATTACTTTTTGTTGTTGCCTGAGTGTTGTGTGATCAATTGCTTCTTTGTTTGGTGTTTCTTGAATTTGGGTTTAATTACATTTAGTTCGTGCCTAAGTCTTGTTTGATTAATTGCTTCTATGATAGTGTTGCTTGACAAGTGTTTTTGGAGCTTCATTTCATAAAACCAAAAGAGAGGCTCACTACGGAAAGAAGTTGGGTTTGAGAATTTGGAGTGAGTGAGTGAGTGAGTGAATGAATTTGGGTTTGAGAGAAGCTAGGTTGGAGAATTAAGTGATTATGGTGGTAGTGGTAGCAGCGCTTGCAAGGGCGAAGGAGAGATGGAAGAATTAGAGAAAGATGAGAGAGAGTGAGTTTGGGTAGAAGGCGTGCGTTTGTGTTTTTCTTTTGAAATTTGGAGCCAAAATATAATTTTTTTAACGTTTTCCATTTCAAATGTAACGGTAGGGCCTAAATTGGTACGATTTCAAAAATTTAGGGACAAAATTGAAATTATTCAGAGTCTAGGGGTGTCATTGAAAATCAAGGCAAAGTAGAAGGATAAAATTGAAATTTTCTCAAATCAAACAAACAATAGATCAACACTAAATGAGACCAAGGATTGCTTATGTTTGTAGAGAAAATATTCGCACATCTATCACGACAAGCCTTCCTCTGGTGATGGTGCGGTTGAACTTAAAGATGCAGATAACCCTTTGTCATATATACTTGTATGCATTTTCCTGATAGATTCTTGACTGAAAGTTTCACTGGCCATGGTTTTCCCAAAGGATCTCTAAGAGTGAGGTTGCAATTCTCACCAAGGTCATTTGCTTTAAAAAATTCCACTGGGATATTCTGTCATTTGCAAAATCACAAGCACAAATAAATTCACAAAAAGTCGTTTAATTATCATGCTTTAGTAAGAAAAGAGAGGACGGAAAGGGCTTGAAAACTTACCACGTAAGGGCTATTACTGATACTGTGGCAAGCAAATAGGTTGTTATGAAATGAGAACTCCTAGGGGTATAAGTTGCAGCCCCCTCAAGTGGGCTTTCTCTTATATATGCAAGTGCAACATAGAACATCAGCTAGGGGTGAGCAGCGGATATACCGATCGGCCAAAACCGACTGAACCGAACCGATCTGCCGCATTTTGGACGGATGCGTGATGACGAGCAGATGGTTGCGGATTGATTTTCTCCAATTTGCCAATCTGGCGGACTTATGGCGGATTTGAGATTCTTTTGGCCACAACTGAACCGCCAAACCGCGAGCACCCCTAGTATTTTATAAGACTTTGTGTTTTCAATTTGTTTAAATATTCTGTTTATGTTTTTAATTAAAAAAGAGTTTAAATATTCTGTTGAAAAAAAATTTTCAACTTGAATATCTTTTTTGAATTGAAAAAATAAACATATTATTTATCTATATTTTTTGGTTTTTAAATCTATCTCTAAAAATAATAAATAGAAAATTTGATATATGCTGGTTGGTTTTTGTTTTCAAAAACAAATATAGATGTTACAATACAGAGACATACAATCTCCACTACTGCTCTGTTCATAGTTTGGTGGCTTGAATTATTTTTATATTTTAAGAACCACAGATTGTAATACTTTATGTGGATGAGGCATGCTGTGATTGTAGTATGTGGATGAGGCATGCAATGATTGTGATATTCTAGAGTTTCAAACTTTCTTGCTTTTGACGAGGCACGCAGTGATGGTAATATTTTTTTAAGTCATTGACTGTAATACTTTTTTTTTTTGAGGAAGTGCACAAGTTGAATTATGTTAAAAATTTATAAAATTTAAAACCGCCAAACTGATTCGCATCCATCCGCCAATTTGCTCAATCCACATCCGCCAGATTGGCGGATGGATGCAGATTGATTTTCTCTAATCCGCCAATCTGGCTGATGGATGGCGGATTAGAGGTTCCGTGGCCGCAACCGACCCGCGCACACCCCTAACATCAGCTAGGCAACAACATTATGCAAAAAAAAAAAAAGAGTTACTGACCTTATTTTTTCACATGAAAGTACACAATACTAGCGTTGCGTTCATCCCATATGGGGTCCACACTCCACGAGAATGAATGCATTGTTTTGTTTACACAAAATTTATATTAGTAGACTTACTCATATTGCATGATAATAATTTGGCTATACTAATATACACTATAGTAAAAGAACGTACGAACAATATAACACTGTCATTAAAATAATGCTGCACTTTTTAATCAAATTTTTACCCTACGCAGTACATTCACAACTGTTTTTTAGACTTGCAGTAAATTCCATGTGCTTTACTTGATCACCATGTCCTTTTTTTCTCTGATCATTACCCAA